ACTTGTATTTTATTTCACTATTATTTCATTTCAAGTTATTTTTGCTTAATATAATTGTTATTTTCAGCTATTTATTTTCAATTCTTCTTTTTCAGTTGTTTCGGGGATTTCAAATCATTTTACATATTAGACAATGGAAGTCCGAACTAGTGAAACTCATCATGAAACATCATCATTGGTTATGAAACATAACCTTCAAACAAGAAAACCTTTGTTGAAATAGGAAAAAGTCTACCAAAATTTATGTGATTGAGTTTCCCTTGAAGTTTTAAATTGTGTTTCAAATTTATTTTTTCGTTAAGTAGCTCCCTTAACCCTCAGAAGTCGGAATTTATGCTACTCGAGGTCTTACTTTTTTAACACGCGATTCCTCGCACAACTCGGACGATACGCACTGAACATCGATCGTCAGAGAGTTGAGATCGAACTAATGTTCACATAGTTGTTGCTTGGATGAGTAGGATGGACTATTCAATCCTAGACAGTTCAGATGACCGTTAGAGGAATAGCACTAGAATGAAAATTAGAGGACTTATTTTACAAATTTTCTGAACTTGTCTTTCGAAAATAATTTTGATGCAAGTTCACATTTTTGTATCCGCTCTCAGTACATTTATCATTCGAACACAGAAACCTCCTAACTCTCTTCATCGATACGGAGTCTAACAATAATTAAACTAATTCTATTTTTTGATGTACTTAGGTATCTTTAAAACTCTCAAAAACGTGTAAGTATGGGTGGAGTGTGTCATAAATATTTCTAATATCAATATCAAAAAATCTGGATTAATTTTATTACAGGATTATTATGTACTGGATACCTTCATTTTTTGAAACGTAAACCCAATCGGTTTTTGAAATATACTTTGAATGCTCTATTTTCTATGAGCAATCGTAGGCAGTGTTATCATTCGGCTGTACTCGGTACTGCGTGCAAAAAGGCGAAAATTTTTATGAGAACTTTCTGAGAGTTCTAGTAAGTGATAAAAATCACTTTCAAATTATTCACCTCCAACAAACAAAGAACATACCAACACAGAATAAACTTTTTCAGTTGCATTCAAAACAACTTATTTTTGTCGAGCACACCATTTGGCACGCCTATGGATAAAATATTATCTACGAAGGTTAGCGGCAGCTGGTGGCTGGTTGAAACATATTTATTGCCTTTAAATATAAATATAACCTAAAAATGATGCGGATAATATTTCAGGTTCTAAAAATGAACTATATTCAAGTGAAGGGTGGTGTTGAAGCAAAAATAATGGAAAGATTTTACCTTCGAGTTTGTTAAATTACTGATAGCAAGTGAGGTGGGAGCTAATATGATTATTGGAAATATAAAAAAACAATAACTTGAATTTTCAAATCGTACTTACAGCTGTCTTGATCATTTCGAAGTCACTTCCACACAATACTAACTAGAATTTAAACGAATGCTAATCAGATTTAAACGATTTCGTTTATTAAAAAGACCCCCACCTAAAGTTCTCAGTTGAGCAGCACTACGAAATGATATTTTTATAATCAAAAAGAATATGTTATGTTAACTTGCTATTTATCATAAGGGTTAAAATAATTTCTGAATTAGGATTGCACATATGTTATCTATATACGATAACAATTTGGTAAGTATATATTAAAACAGTTTCTGTAGGACATAAGCACGAGTATGTGACCTTCCACGTTGAAGGTTTCATAGATGATAAATTCATGAACGGCGCAGTAGATAGGTAAGTATAGTCTACAGAATATGTGTATACCTAATATGTGTATACGAAATATAGCTAAAGCTTTTGCGTAAAGCTTAAAAAATATTAGTACCTACAAGAAAAATGCAATCTCATTTTATACCTCCGTTATGTGTGCTAGAAATATTTGTCAGATATAGAAGTTATTAGTTAATGCTTAAAAAGTGGCAGGATAGAAATAATATTGTAGAACTGATTTTGTTCAATAATTCGTATTACTCTTCAATCATGTTAAGAATGCCTCACTGGCTAGCAACGATTTGAAAACACTTTAGACCACAAACTTTACAATATTTATTATTCTATCCAACAACAATGTCAGTTTCAGACTGACTCACTTGAAAAATTTTCAACACACAAAAGATCGTATGTATCGTCCTCTCTCTCTCTCTCTCTCTCTCTATTTTGGATGGTCGTTGCTTCCTATCTTCAGGCGCATATGACCAATGCTTCTCCTGTTACGTAATTGGCTGTTACATAACAAAAGCTTCGTCGGAGGACAAAGACTATCTTGCAGCTTGCAAGCCTGTGCCCGGAATGGTGTGCTCTTCGTGTTTTTGACTAACTCGGCTGGACTGCTTTGGAATGTCTGGATAAAGCGGTACACGTAGCGTCTACTAGAGTGTCGAACGTTGTCTCTTAGGTCACAGATCTGTGCTTATGTAAGCCTATGCTCAGGTGATGTTCAGGGCTGTTCATCCAGTACTCCCAACAAGGTAATGTCCTGGGCTGTACAGAGCACTGATCCTAACGCAGTTCCTATCAGGTGATTTTTGTCTCTTATTCACTTCTTAATCAAACTTTTTTTTTGATGTATCATGTTTTGGTTCAAATGCATTCACAAAGGTCATATACTCCTCGACTGTTATTTCGTCCATGACGTTCAAGCGAGCAAACCACCAGTGAAACAAAACGCCAGTGAATAGTTCGGCATAATCGAATAACGAGAGTATTCGAAAATGGTACAGAGTGTGCCAAATTGGACACTTTTAAAGGAAAACTCCTGTTTTCAAACTAGATTGATGAAAACTGATGGGTGTGTCGGAGAGTCAAATTTTATGACAAACATAATGCTGAAAACCGCGTATAGAAATCTATCATCGTTTTTGAGTTACAGCATGTTTTCCGAAAATGTGTATTGCCGAAAAGTTGCTGTTACTTTTTTCTTGTCAAAAATTTCTTGTTTCTATGAAAACATTTCCAAAGAACTTCTTTGTGTAGAATTCAATGATATAAAAAACTAATTTTTTCAAATGAGATATCAATAGTTATTGATAGAATACTATTTCTAAATATTCCTGAATGCGAATCTTTACTCTAAAATATTGATTTAGGCAGTAAAAACGCTCTTCAATTAGTGGTTTTTGTTTAATTGTCACACATTCGCAATAAAGTAGGTATGAATGAGAATGATGAAAAATGGGATATGATAGTGTTATACAAACCGGGGAAAATGCAGAAGCACCGTATAGAAGTAAAGACAAGTAAGTTCACTCTCCGCCATATTTAGGTCAAGATTCCCCACCTCGAATTTCATGCTTAGCCATGCTACATGCTACAGGCAACCAACTGAATCTGATGGGTTTAACAAGTGAGCCAAGTTGAGGCATGGAATATTATTACAGAGTGAGTCGTTATAAGTGGTGGTTTTATATTTGTGAAAATGTCGTGTCTACTTTCAAAATGAACAAGTGTCAAGCTGTGGGTTTTTGTAATTTGCAGGGTGATGTCGGCATTAATTTTTGTCGATTTCCAATTGACGAAAAAATTTATGTTTTTCTAATATTCATTATGAACATATAACGAAAATCATAAAATGAATTGTTATAGACCATATATATGCAGACATTTTTTTATGAAATCAATTTGATGAAATTGAACTTCACGAAAAGTATATGTCTCACAAGTAATGATATAAAATGACATAACAATCGGAGTTTTGAAGTGTGATTGAAGGTGTTAGGCAATTATCAAAAACTGGATAATGAGTTAGGGGTATCATTTCAGATTCGGGTTTTAATTTTTATACACTTGCCAGAAAAGATGGCAAAGTAACTGTAGAGCTGCCATATTTATTTGTCGATGAGAAAAACATATTTTACTTTTTTGATACTCCTCATCTGCTGAAATATAGCAGAAACCATTTTTTTGATGACTTTTTGAAATTTGATGTATTCACAACGAACAAAAGTCATCGACAACAATATAGACTAACTCCCGTACTTTATGATTCTCATTCATTTTCAACTAACTTTCAAAGGATGAAGGTTGAATTAGCCAGTCAAGTTTTCAGTCATTCGGTAGCTACAGCGAAGGATACTTATGCCAGTTTCAATCAGATACCATCAGTAGCAAAAGGTACGGCTACATTCATTGAAAAAATGGATAAAGTCTTTGATATTTTGAATTCAAATCGATTTGACGATGTCAAACATTACAATAAACCTTTTTTCGGAACATCAAAACAAATTGATTTTCTGAAGAAATGAAAATATTTTTCAGCAAATTAACTGTAATAATTTACTGTTCAGTATTTCACACAGGTAGAAGGAACTAACAGTCTAGAATATCATAGATCTAATATTACAAATGATTATGGAACTCTAGCCACTCCAGAAAGCAACAGCTTGGGCTCTGTTTGTGGATATCTTTTGACAAAATGTTTAAGAAAACATTCATGTGAAGTATGTACAAATTTTGCCACGAAGGCTAGTACCACATTGAATGAAACAAATGTATGTAGCCATTTCAAGGTATATAGTAATATGGTAGCCAAACAGTTTGGAAGTTTATATATGCCTCCAGATTCATTTTCACAATATATCATTCATCTAGAGACAGAATTTCTTAATCATTTCAACAATTTATGTGCCACTGATTGCATAGGCAACCAGCTCGAAACAATGTTTTCAAAAATCAACATTTCTCACCCTTATGATAATTTTCCTTTGTATTATTTATTTTCTCTTTTCACGAGGGTAATCACTGCAATTGTCACCAACTTTTTGGCTGCAAATTTTGGTAATAAGTGGATAGCCAACCAAGGACCCAACCGTTGGACGGCCAGATCACCGGACCCAACGTTTATGGACTGGGGAAGGTTGAAAGATCTTATTTTCAAATTGCCGACTAATTATAGATACAAATTGGAAGCGGCAGTGATGCAAAGTTTTGCTTCTCTCACTTCAATTGAAATAATTAATTCGGCAAAAAACGTTTAGAAAAGGTGTCGCCTGTGTGTAGGAGAAGCTGGTAGACAATTCTGAAGAAATATGTTTCATTGTTTGTTCTTTATCGTTTTCATTATTGATGAAGTTTCATTTTTTGGGATAGTAAATATAGTATAAATTGTTATCAGTTTTATTAGAACTATGTGTTTTAAATACTGCTGTGAAAAACTTTCTCAACATTTGAAAGCTACTACTGAACAATTTCTTTCTGTTTTATCGCCGCGTCGTCCGAAGTCTACTTGATTAAAGTGTGCGTTGCAAAGTCTACATGAAAAAACCTGGAAGCTCTGTATTTCAAATATAACTCTAGCAAAACATCGAGTGTGCTACATTTTTGGAACTATAATTTTAATTTCTATCGGAATATGCAGGGTGTCTAATGATGCAAATCCATAAGTTATTCAAAACGTTATTGTTATTGTCACTGGATAGTTTACAAAACCGCAACATGTATTTCGTGAACAATAACTTTCTCAAGCATTTTCATACCATCCAAATTCTATGAACTTTAAGAATTGAAACTTTCTATGTTTTTATACAACTTGTATTTGTAACTATCGTTACTGCAGTTTCGTCCTACAAAGACATTTTCAAACGAATACAATAAACTCGTACCGTTAGTTACAAATACAAGTGGTATAAAAGCAGGAAATTTTAATTCTCACCTGTGTTCAGGTAAAAACTAATTGAAAATATACTAAAAGAAAATTCACCAATTAAATGGACGGGTACAATTTGTGTTCTATATAATAACAATTTGAATCATATTACGTACCTACTCAATGACCAATAATTTCACCAGAGTCAAGGTCAGAACTAATTAAAAATTTTAACATAGTAAAAGATAATTTTGCCAACCCAATAAATAAACTAAATACCAATTTTCACATTGAAAAATATAGTGTAAGAAACTAAAAAACACGCTTTTAAAGAACATCGAACTGAAAAGTTAAAAATATTTTTTTTAAATAAGCTTAAAACAATAACGAACGGAAAATACTAGTATTATTGTGAAAAAGTGACGGGCGCTTGATATATAAAAAATATGGCACAAAGCGCCCACGCTTTTTTCACAATAATACTAGTATTTTTCGTTCGTTATTGTTTTAAGCTTATTTTAAAAAAAATATTTTCAACTTTTTAGTTCGATGTTCTTTAAAAGCGTGTTTTTTAGTTTTTTAAACTATATTCCCTTTTCATTTTTTTTTTTTCAAATGAAGAACTACATGTAAACTGAGTTCGAATTATATTAAGGAGGTTACGTACAGCGCCATCTGCACGCGAATAGATCAAGCAACAATGTCGATATATCAAGGATGTTACGTACAGCACCATCTGCCCACGAATAGATCGAGCAATAATTTCGATGTATCAAGGAGGTTACGTACAGCGCCATCTGCCCGCGAATAGATCAAGCAATAATGTCTATATATAAAGGAGGTTACGTACAGCGCCATCTGCCCGCGAATAGATCAAGCAATAATGTCGATATATCAAGGTTCCGTACAGCGCCCGCGTATCTGCCCGCGAATAGATCAAGCAATAATGTCGATATATCAAGGAGGTCGTACAGCGCCATCTGCCCGCGAATAGATCGAGCAATAATGTCGATATATTAAGGAAGTTACGTACAGCACCATCTGCCCGCCAATAGATCAAGCAAAAATGTCGATCATTCGGTCAAATACAGATCGCGAACTTGAGAGTTACAAGCAAACAAACAAACAAGCATACATACTTACATACAGAAGAATACAATTCTATTTGGTCATATGGTAGATTTTCAGAATTCCTGAATCTATTAATTTTTAAGCACTCCACTACAAAAAATTGAGTTTCAAACCTTTCTCTTTCAAATGTAACACTTCACAATCGTGGTTGACCTCATGCCTATATTTCGAAAATGGTTTGAAAAAATAAATTTGTCTTCACATTCAAGAAACTACGTCTCTATGTTCTTCTATTCATTAGAATAAATGTTCTTCCTATTTGGCCGATATTATAAAGTTTTGGGCAAGAACCACAAATCAATGTACCGCTAATCTATCCGACGTTAAAGTTTTCTTCATTTGTGTTCTTTATTGTTTTTAATAAATTCGCTTAAATTATCATTTTTCCAATAGGCCACGTCCCAGTCTGCCCCTTTCAAAAAATGAGAGATATTATTGAGAGGTTCACCAAAGTATGTCAATGTTCTATAACGCTCATTATCGTTTATTGAGGTAGGATAGACCTGGAAAATGACTTTATCCCGTAGTGGAAGGAATGAAATCGCTAGGATCTACCCTGTAACAGCGATTTGTTAAAATTACTTTCTGACAGTGGAATATTCAACGCTATGTGAAGCATACAATTGAGAACTAAAACCCATACCTTCCGCAACCGAATTGATTTCAGAAGAATCTGATCCATATCCATGGAAAATACATGTGATAAGAAGAAGGCAGAAGAAAGGTAATGATTTGAAGTCAGTTGAAAAAACTCAACGAAGCAGTTTGATCCGATTGACAGTGAGTCTTCAGACATAGTGTAGTTGCCAAGGCCCAGAGGGTTCAAAGGAATCCCTATTTTTTTGCGATGGCCTATTTCGTCAAAGTGAAAGAGCCGAGACTGGGTCGAATCTATTATGAAAAATCTGTATCATAATGGATATCATTATGAAACGGATTATGGTCATATAAGTGTATTGTTAGAGTACGGGTGTAGAAAAAAGCCATTACAGTCGCATTCGTAGATATCTTTGGGCTCCCAACAATCGCACATACACCCTACTCATTTTGGAAATCATTATTCTGCATTTCTTTTTTAAATACTTTCACTAAAAATATTCTGTATTTTTATTTCTAATGAGAATGAATAACTGAACATTTGCATTTCGAATTGAAATACTTTGAATAAACTATTCTGCACATCTCTGATAATATATCCGTCTAATGGTGGTGGTGAGAGTTTCTTTTACGCCCATGATTTCCTCTGTTACTTCAAGAATAAAAATTCAACTAATAACAAGTTCATTTCTAAATAACATATTATGTAATAACTATGCAGGGATTTCTTTCTACTGGATATATCAATGTCAATATGGTTAATTTCACTAGTTCGGACTTCCATTGTCTATTATGGATATAATCCAACGCCCTTCGTGGTATTAGCCAGGGGAGTAGTTGTTTTCTGATAGGTGTCAGTCCATTAACCTACTGTGTAGGATGTTGAGACTCACCTGAACGAATTGTTCTTTTAGATGATTTGTTCTTCATTATACCTTATTGAATTACGTGATTTCTTGTAACGATTGTCCACAGAGCCAGTTTCTTTAAATGTTTTCAATATCCTTTCCACGGTATTTAAGTGAATATTTCTTCCTGGATGCCGATGATTGACAATACAAGCAACATCTCGTTATGACAAATTCTCACCACATAAATGAACAATTTCCACTTTGTCTTGTGTTGATAATATTGTACATAAATTTATTTGTGAATTATAAATGTAGGAAAATCTCTATCCAAAATAACTCGATTCATTAAACACAATAATTTGACATTAACCAAAACAAAAAATATGTTTCAAAAACTTGACAACATTTTATTTCGATACAGTACCTAGTATTTCTTCCGGATAAGTTGCATTAGTCTTGTAATGCTTAAAATTGCGAAATTTTATATCACGTTTAGTACAAATCGCTAAAACGAAAGTCTTTCAAATAGTCGTGAAACTGTAGGTCAATATTTAGTTTACCGAAAAGTACGATATTTCGGGTTAGTTTGTAACTGTATTTTTGGTCAAGAAAATAATCAAACTGGATAAGGAATACGGGTGTAATAAGAATGCAGAGAAATTACGTTTATTCGATTACTGACATATTAACCGTCCATGCATTGAAAATCCTAATCAGTTTAACAATGAAATGAAAAAACTAGATGAACTTTGCAACGACAAAGACGAATTTCTGGAAGTGTATTCATTTTTTATTTCTAGTAACAGGCCAATGCGGGTATTTTTTGAGCAAGATATGACATTGGAAGTCTCGTATTCATCAAATTTAAATCATGTTTCGTTTGAATCGCTAGAGTGAAAGATTCGAAAAATCAAAAGAAACTGAAAAAAGTTGAAGTGACAGTAGAGAGTCCAAATTTCAAGGGTATAAAATTGAAAACTGAGCGACTTGTTTTTTTGGCATTTTTGGAAATTTACAAAAAAAAACTTATTTTTCAAGGATTTTCGAAAAATATGGTGAATTTGACAGGTTTAGAGTAGCGCATGACAAACCCAAACTAACTGCGAAGTCAAATTTTCATTATATCTATTAACAAAAAAACTTCCAAATGTCGCGAATTTTATGTGCTACAGTTCATATTATTCAGAATAAATACATATGAAAAATCCGTTGAAATCCCACTTTTACAAAAATTATATTCCTGATATAGTGATACACAAATGAAATCTTTGGCATATTCTTTAATTTCAATAAAAGGTATAAAAAATCTGTACATCAATTATTGGGCATGGCATTTACCTTAATATAAGGCTAAAATATAATATATACAATAAAAATAACAACTTTCTCATATTTTACATCTTACATGTATAATTTTTTTCAGGCTTAGCACCAATGAAATAAATATGCTACACTATCTTACTTAGCATACTTATTCTAAAATAATTAGAGTATATTGAACTATAATTTAAATATGTGTGCAACCAGTCTTTGAAAATATCATAACCTGTACTGGAATTAACTATTTTGTTTTGTTACGATTCTGGACTCGGCTTTCTCAACTGTCAAATTTTTAGAAATTATGTCATTAGATGCTAAGTTGAGTAAATCGTTCATAAGAGGCATTAATGAAGTCTACTGGTTAACTAGAGCAAATTAGAGTCCAATATCGAAGAGAATCCAGAGATTATGAAATATGTAATTAGATTACCGTAAGTGGTCTTACTAAACTCTTGAACCAAAATTCCACAATTTTTTTGCAATTTCACTACTTTTGAATACATTTATTTGATATGATTTAATTTTTTTTCCAGAAAAGAGATATTTAATCAACTCATAATCATAATTTTGATTATAATTCCAGCTCATTACCAATTGATTTTTACCCTACTTCACAACACTAACATAAATTGCGAACGAATTTTGTGAAAGTATTGTCTTGAATATTATAAGGAATTGTAATTTAATACACGTTTTCTCATACTATATCTGAATGAAATTGAAAATAACAATATCAAAGTGAAATCAACTATTCAAACTCATATGAAATAAACTAACGGTCATATCGAAAGCTTATCAAGATTTTCATTGAATTTGTTTGAAATATTAGCAGATAACATATCAGTCTTTTTTTCGTGAAATGAAAACACTTATAGAAAGCCCACCTCATTCAATTTAGAATATCTCTCTGTTCAAAATATGTATATGTTTTTCCGTTAATCAGCTGTCGCCCCCATACGAACGACAACTCTCNGTTTTAAGTTTATTTGAAAATATTTTCAACTTTTTAGTTCGATGTTCTTTAAAAGCGTGTTTTTCAGGTTTTTAAACTATATTCATTTTTCATTTTTTTTTTCAAATGAAGAACTACATGTAAACTGAGTTCGAATTATATTAAGGAGGTTATGTACAGCGCCATCTGCACGCGAATAGATCAAGCAACAATGTCGATATATCAAGGAGGTTACGTACAGCGCCATCTGCCCACGAATAGATCGAGCAATAATTTCGATGTATCAAGGACGTTACGTACAGCGCCATCTGCCCACGAATAGATCAAGCAATAATGTCTATATATAAAGGAGGTTACGTACAGCGCCATCTGCCCGCGAATAGATCGAGCAATAATGTCGATATATCAAGGAGGTCGTACAGCGCCATCTGCCCGCGAATAGATCAAGCAATAATGTCGATCATTCTGTCAAATACAGATCGCGAACTTGAGAGTTACAAGCAAACAAACACACATACATACAGGTGAAGCTAATGTGAAGCGTGTAATAATAAAAAGAGATTCACAAGATGAAAAGAATACAATTCTATTTGGTCATATGGTAGATTTTCAGAATTCCTGAATCTATTAATTTTTAAGCACTCCACTCCAAAAAATTGAGTTTCAAAGCTTTCTCTTTCAAATTTAACACTTCACAGTCGTGGTTGACCTCATGCCTACATTTCGAAAATGGTTTAACGACAACTCTCAGAAGTTGAGAAACTTGTGCGGCTAAGGACTAACGAGGTCTTACCTTTTAACGTGTGATTCCTAACACATATAACTCAGTATATTTTGTCAACATTTGTATTAAGGCTCGAGGACAAATATTAAAAATGTATTCATCAGAAAAATAATTTGTAGATTATTGAAGAAAAAATATGTGACTGTCATAAAAATTAAACAATTTTCACATCAATAACTTTACTAAAGACGCTACACACTAGCTTTCTCAGTTGAACTGTGCTGGAAATGTGTCTTTAGTAAAGTGTGAAAGTTGTTCCATTATCGTGGACAGTGTTATTAATATTCATCAAGAAACAGGTATTTGATTAAAAATTGAAACGTTCGGTAAAAACCTGGTTGATACCACAGTGGAATTTGGAAAAATTTACCTAATAATTAAATAGAATCGTCATCACTTATAACCCTAAATCTTTGAAATATTTGTAATATGGAAAATATCATCTTTTACAATAAAGAATTTCATCCATATTTTTCTCCTTTGATATATTCGAAAGCACCAGTTTATTACTATTAGTCACTAATTATCACACTAGAATATTTAACCCAAAACGCTCTTACAATTAGAAGGGTCATAGTATTTTATTACTTCATTTAATTAATTTCTACCAGTTCTTCAATTGTGTAACAAGTAGCCCTCGTTTTAGAGTCATAAATATCTTAAATGAAAACATGTGTTTATTAATACTTGTTTTAAAAAATATTCTTGAACGTAGTCAGCTTGCGGTACTGGCTGAATTATAAAATAACAATGTTCGATTTTTGGTTGGCATATTAATGTGTATTAATCAATATCAAAGGTTGATGGAGAACAAGTGAGGAAGAAAGCTTTCAGCATCAAACACAAAATTCAAACAAAATAATATCTTTAAATCTAATCTTTTATCAATTTGACGACTCCTATTCTTTGATACCCTGAAAGGCAAGCCTTATACAGTGTACTTAATTGAAAACGATCCATATTTTGGATGAAAGGGAAAAATATGAGATATTTGCAAGACGGTTTAATTTTTTTTTCGTTGAGGACATTATTCACCACACTGTTGATAGCAAATGGGTTCAGTTGCGAGAAAAAAATGTTTAAATCCATCACAAAATTTTCTGAGTACTAATACACATGAAGTGTAAACTTCACAGAACAAAACTATGAAAACAAATGCATATGTTTCATGATAACCAGTGTAAGACAAATACTAATTATGTACATTCGGAATAGAAAGCAACTGAAGATGAATTCTGATTTAATATTTGATATTAATGAAACTTCAGCACCTCTCCTCCAAATGAAACCAATCGAAGGATATTATAGAAAATTTGTATGAGTTTAGTAGATCAGAATCTCAAGTCTGAGAAGACATTTTTGTTGAATGAAGGGTCCAGTTGATCTCAACAAATGAGTAATATACATATATTAAATATAAGATATTCAAACTTTCATCATTCAAATGATGTATGTTATGCTAATTTACGTGAGAAAATATTACTATAATAAGAGAATACAAAGGATCGACCTGTTTGGCAAAATTTTATTTGTTTTCGTTTGTATGAATTCGATATTATTTTGTCGTTTTGTTTTTATGATTTTTTTCTGTTACCTTTTAACCTATCTCATAAATAAAATAGTGGCTTTCATAGTGCAATTCTATCAGTATCTCGGTAATTATCATGTTTTCAGATTATTCAGGGCTCGCTTCTGATGAAAAAAGTTTGAATAGTATATCATAATGTACAATTAGGTACTGTTTCCACAAACAGTCTTTAATAAACTCAGTTTTATGAGTACGGATTGGATCAGTATTGAAAAAATAATGATAACTATATGAACATGTGGCGGTAATTGTATTCCTTTGATTAAAAGTGATTCTGCCGAACTCACATTTCTGACTCTTGTCACACTTTTTGAGAATCACTCGCCGGAACTTTCTTTAGATAAGAAATCGCCATATTATTACTCTTACTAGCTGGAGGCTGCGTTAGCTGCGAGTCCAAATTACTATTATATTTACATTTCAACGTATCCAGATAAGCCATCCGGTACTGTCTGTTCATGGTAACATAAACCAAAGGATTCACGCAACTAGATAAATATATCAACAAGTAACTTATTGTATGCAGTGGTGCATGATGGACTTCCTTGTCAGAAACCTTCACTATAGTTATCGGTAAGTAGCAAATAATGAAACAAATAAAAATCGCGAGTACCATTTTCGTTATTTTCATCTCGCTCCGTTTGAATTTGTTACCGGTGCTGTTTTGCTGGAGTTTTTTGTGTGATTGTTTCACTATCCAGAATATTTTTGCATAACAGATGATTATGGCAATGCAAGGCAATGCGGTCCCCATAACAAAAAGAAACTGTTTTGAACTATGACCGTACTCATCCGGTTCGATAGAACACGTTCCCAGCTTTTCGTCCATTCCATAAGTACCCCATATTCCCAACATTGTAGGTATTTGAATACTGTAGCTGAACGCCCAAATGAGGCCGATATATATGGCAACTTTGAATTTGGTGTAAACTGTTTGGTAGAGATGCGGCCAGGCGATAAGAATGTACCGATTTATCGAAATTGCGGTGATGCTCAGTAGAGATACTCCAACAGAACCGTACCTCAGGATTGGTACCATTGTGCACAACATCGGTCCGTGGATCCAAGTACCGTGAAGAAACTGACTGGCGGAGAATGGCAGCACGAGAAAGCATAACATGAGATCCGAGATGCACAGACTGAAAAAAAATTAGAAATTATTTTTATATGCTTGAAGTGGAACGGATGACAATTACATGATCAAGGAGGTTTAATAAGAAAAGTGAAATTAGTGTTATTTCACTTTTGTGGGTGTTCTACTGCATTGCTTCTTTCGGGTAATAGATGTTACCAAAAGTGTGACAACTACAATGCAACAAACGATGTTCAAGAGAAAGTAATGAATAAACGTGGTAATATAATTTGTTTATATATATCATATCATATTTCATTAGAAAGGTATGATATATTTTGAGTAGATACCCTGAACCATTACTTGGTGAAAATAAATAACACTAATAATCAACACTAAAATCTGTATTGGGAAAATTCGTAATTCATATGATTGATACTAGAATATATATGTTTCAATAAATTCAAATCATCTATATCTCTAATAATCTACAGTGGTAGACAAAAAAGTTTTGCCTATAGTCCATTTTCAAAAGGTGTTCAGAAATAAATTATTCAAAACTAATAATTCCAATGACATAGCTTTTCAGCTATTTCTTATTTAATTCGCTCAGAATTGTTTTCAAATCAATTATTAAAATAAAAAATACCTACTAGTTATCATTCTTGTTCAATATAGGATAAAGAAAATAACTTTTGTCTGATTTTTACAAAGATTTTCATTCGTTATCCATTTTGTTGTTTTCCATTTGTTGAATTTTCAAGTGAAGTGAAAATTTGAAATGGGGAATAAGAAATACAACAGTAGACAAAATTAATGCAGCCGTAGATAGATCCATAATCAGAATCGAAATCAACATTGTTTATTGCCTATTCTGGTTGAAATACTAATGAAAAACACTATTTACAATATATACCAATGTAATCTTTTCCCACATAAAGGATTAGGTTTGGGGGGACAGGAAAGTTATGGGTGCAGGAGGAGACTAGGACGACAACAAAAGACAGCGGCTCCTCACTGTTCCACGATTGGACAGTGGAAAGCGTCCCCCTGGTGTTAGCGGGTAGATCTCCACTCAAGAGTGCTTTATTTTAGCCTCAGTCTAGGACTTTTTCCTGTCGCGGCTTACGCGGGAGTTGTTATCGGTAAATTGCAATTAGGTACATGGTTTTAAGTATATATCTAGTGTATCTCAAGGATTGATGCTAGAGCCTCCGGTAAAAAAATCATGAAAAAACCAGGTAAGAGTAATTCTGAAATCACGAGAATTTCGTGAAAGATATCAAGTGTCTTAGAGATCAGTGTTTACAGGGCTGGTTATGGTAGCTTCCAAGCATCGTGTCGTCCCTCGTCAGCAGGCTTTTCGTAAGAAAGAACTGGTATATTCAGTGACCGTCTCAACTTCTGCCAGATCTAACAGATCATTCACTGAAATGTATCTGTCACTATTGGTGCAAATACGGAGCACTTCATTCTGCATCGTCTCGAATCTCGGCAGAGGGGTCCTCGTGAGGCTGCAGAATACGGGACAAGCATACAACATAGCTGCTCTAATAACTTGTTTGTAAATTAGCGACTTGTTGTCAACACTAAGCTTAGAGTTCTGTGCAATGAGCGGATACGTGCATTTTACTGCCGCACCTGCGCGTTGGGTTGCTAAGCTCAAGTGTTCCTGAAAGTTCAGCCGCCTATCCAGGATAACTCCCAGATATCGCGCACTCTTCTGCTCATCAATGCAATCACCCTCAACTCGCAGCTTCCCGAAGATCTTCACGTTAGTAAATTTCCTCTAAAAGTCAACAAGTTCTGTTTTGTTGTGGTTATTCTGGATAATTCCTCTCAAAATACGGCACGACAAACCTGTCGAGGTAGATCTGCAGCTGTTGCTACGCCACCTTGCTCGAGAACAATTTATTGAAGTTGGTCTCTCAACTTTTGTTTCTGAGCAAAGTGGAGACTACCACAAAAACTAGACTACCGACGTCTTTGAAGGATGGCAAATACAAATGATAGATTTGCTTCCAAGAGATTCTGTCATTGTGATGAACAATGCAAGCTATTGTTATCGATCACAGGAGAAACTGTCAATAGGTAATTGGACCAAAATGATATATAAGGTTGGTTTCATTCGAAAAACCACAATGTTCCAGATAATTCAATAAATAATCCTTTCTTCCTCCTTTGAATAAATCTGATAGAGCTAGTACGGATATATGTAAAAGGGATGTTGCTCAAAAAAAAATACAACGATCAAATGGAATATTATTTTGAATCATTTGAAAATGAATTGGAATGAACCTTCAAAGATTTCTGGAAAAAATATGTCAATCATTTGGTTGATAAAAATGTGGGAATCATACCACATTATTGATGAAACCATTGAACCAATATTAATATAGTGAAGAAACTTTTTTTCTGACGTACGATAAAACTTCAGGATATTATTTTACTATTTGATTATATGTGCTTTATTTTTCATTGTCAAACATGAAAGCTATATTATTTGTATAATTTCTTTTATATTCAAAAATGTTAAAGTTACTTTTCTATTTATTTATATTGAGAAATGTTATTTGTCAGAAGCCTGTTCAATATTTTAAACCATTGTTATATTCATGAATTTTGGGCTACACTGGGCTACAATTCTTTTATATATCAACGCAACTTCAGCCTATATATTTTTGTACGTGTACGATTAATCGCATCAACGGTAAACAATACTATATACATTCATAATATATATTTTGAATTTCATTGGGATGAAACCGAATTTACAACGTTGGCGTTGTTCAAAGTTTCTTCAATTTGCCCAGAAACGGAAAATAAATTTAACAAAATGTCATTGAACAAATAGGTATTTGCAATATTCAATAAAATATCCGAATTTTGAAACAACGTTGAAAAACCTGCTAGTGATTCTACTAAATGCATTATGAACACGTTGTATTCATCAAAAATAATGAATTTTTTACCTTCACAATACTTACATAGGTTTCAATAAATTACAAAATTTTTTTTTGTTGAATTATTCTATATTCCAATGTATAGAATGTAAACCTTATGCACTACTAAATATTTGCTCGTATAATTATTTTTTTCAGGTAACGAATCTTTGAAATACTTCAGAGGACAATGAAATATATTTTTGTTTCAGAAATCATGTTGAAGAAACTCCACACCTTTACCTAAATTTAATGAGTTTTTATGTTTTTCAATTCTCTGATACTTACATCAACATGTAGAATTTCGTTTTTTTTAATTATATTAAAGTTCAGCTGAAAATATTTTATCTGATTGAATTCTGAAATTATTCAGAAAAATACGACAACGGTTTCATTTCGTTTTCTTTGGCCCACCCTGTATTTTTGTAAAGGACAAAATTAACTATGAGGAACTTAGCTATTTATTGAGTGTAAGGGAAATTTATCTTGAAGTTGTAAGATCATTCTCTTTCATAGCTGATCTGTGGTTAGTTGATCTATGGTCAAATTCTGAACAGTTCCATGTTGATTCAATTTTTTCTGTATCTACTCATTATGCGTTATTAAAAACAATAGACTTGAAAAAAGAAACAAAACCAGCAAGGTTCCAAATTCCAGATCCCACGTGACTCATTCGTTGAAACCGACAATAACTACATTTGTTTTTGAATTGTTATACCTAGATTATTAGTTGATTTTCTAAATTTCATTGGCGAAATTGCATCTTTCTCAATTTCCAGTTCAACTGAGTGAAATAAGATATTATGTTTCATAAACGAATGTTTTTCAGGCTTATAAAAGACGTGAATGTAACATAGATTTGTGAATTTCGATGAATACTACTATCTTATCTGATGACCACCATTTGAAGAATGCTAATTTCTCAATGAATCATGAAATTTTCTACCGAGGAGGTTTCTTTAACTCATTCTTCAGTAATGCATCAGTAAGTGAGTAATATATGTCCTCCAAGAACATGGGTTTCTTTCTGTAGATGATGACAAATAATGTGATCATCTCACATATTTTCAATAATATTCACAGTCAAAGAAATTATTATTATTTTTTCTATTTTCACCCAAGAGGTTAACCATAGAGAAGTGTACGAGGGTTGCCTATATTACAAAGAACTAACGATAGCAAACATTTAACGACGCAATACTTTTTCATTTATCTAGTTATCGGTATACTTTTACATACATAATACTTTTCATTCCTTCCGAAAATAGTTTTCCGAAAATTTTGTTGTTCACGGATGATCAACAATACTTCTTGGAAAAGGGGAATTCTTTTATTTTGCGAAAATTTGTAACAAACCAATAACAGTTTTAAAGCTCATTGAGATTCAAGATAAATGAACAGAGTGACGAATTTTTGTGAAATGTATTATTTCAACTTATGAAAGCATGTTTTTCTGATGAAGTGGAAAATTGAAGAGTTACGATGAGTGAATTGGAGATGAACTTCGTTTTTCGGCAGGTATTCAAAAATGTCAACTATTTGTACCTCTTGTGGAACAGTAGAACTGCTCTAACACCTTTTACCGCGCTCCTACCATCGATAGCTTACATTTTTTCGTTATTCTCTATTGTAAGATGTTCACTCATTTTTTTAATGAAATTTTGTTTTTCGAGTAACCCCAGAGAAAAAAGTCAAGGCTCCAGAGTTATGATCACATGGCGAAATTTTAAATTTTAACTTCTTTCGAAAATTTGGTTTGAGTTACATCATGAACTCCACACATTTTATACCATTTAAAAGGTCTGATATGTTCCTGAACTGGATTTATCGGAAAGTGAAACATTATGAAAATTGAAGTGGGTATGACTATGAACAAGCACATACCACATAGATTATAATATAGAAGTAGAGATAGAATGTAGAAGTTCATTCCGAAGATGTGTACGTATGATGTTTCAAGACATTCATTTGGTACAAAAGCTTCGAACCTTGTTTATACAGCTCTTGTCGTTACTTCTACACAGATTAATATATATCTCAAGAAATAGCTTACAGAAAGCTATGATACGTTCTTCTCTACTGTAGCTATACACTAGTGTTCAACTTCTTGGGATATATCTGCTTGGGAATTCATGTAGTAATGTTTTCAGAGAACTACAAGTTGCGAAGAAAGTTTCAGATGTCACATTAATTTAACAATAGTTTACTATTAATATTTTTTGTATCCATACTCAGTAACACTTTAGGAATAGAATTCTACACGTCAATTCTTAAAGTGGTCTATGTTCATTAACACTTTTCTTAGAAACGTTTTTAACTTCCCATTGACTGAAAATTTTCAATAAACTTAGTTTCAAGATGCTGGGAAGGACCAATATGTGACTAAACAGAATATCGTATTTCTGTGGTTGATAAGAGAGTGCAAAGAACGACTTCATGTCATAGATTGAAAAATTTTTCACATTGAATTGTTCTCACTATCACCACATCGGCTGATTCACAATAAAATAAATACCTGATAGTCATTCCGGAATCTGGTTGTGGTTGTCAAGCGTACAAAATCCTTGAAACACTGACAGTGGTCACGACAAACGTAGATAGTTTTACAATGAGCATTTAAATTGTTATTCAACTTTTTGCGAATAATATTCAGCAAAATAAATCAATTTCAATACTTATTTATTTTGTGGATGCAATAATTTTGTCACTACCGAAAGATATTGATACTATTTTTTCGACGTTCTACTCATAAACTTCAGTTACTCAAATTGTATAGTGAAAAGAAACATATAAGCATGTTTTTTCATGATAAGCAGTTGCTCTCAAGAAAATAACAATTATACTCAAATTATTCTGCCTCATTTTTAAGAAGTCACCCCTAAATTAATGGATGATTTGAAAAATTAAAACAAACATTTCTAAAACAGTATGATCATAACCATCAAATCTATTTTTCCGCTAACCAGCTATCGCCCCTCTACGAACGACAATCCTCAAAAAGTTAAAGATTAACGAGGTATCACATTTTATACTGCGATTCCCAGCACGGGTTGGACGAGAGGCAGTAAAAATCGATCGTCCAACCTCGCGGCTCGAACCACCATTTCCCCCGAAGGCCGTTTGAATGAGTGGAACAAACCACTCACGCCAACCCAACTGGCTACCTACCCACCATCAAAATAACATATTCAAATTAAAACGTCTAGGAAAACAAAAATAAATCAAATGTTATTTACAAAATTGATGAACAAAACACGTGCTTTAACAACGTGCTTCAACAGAACAAGATATTCAGAATGGGATAGATAACAGTAACACACAAAAGATTCCTTTTCAATGAAATGTTTTCATGAGATTGCGATGATCAGACATCAACAGGTTTATTTAAATTCACGCATTCATTATGGAAAATGTGATTTTTTTCCTTAATTTTAAAGACTTTTATCAAATTCCATTATTTCACTTCTTTCATGTATACCTTTTCAGTTTCTTAGTTTCACCTCAGTATCTTGAAATGAATTAGAGAAAAAGTATTTAAGGATAGAGTATTCACGAATTTATCACTCATAAAAAACAAACCATGTTTCTGGCTAGTTGGCCCTTATCAGTACACTGTTGCCTAGTAGATGGATGAGCCACACTGCAAGAATGAAAATGTATAAAGGTTGCAATATAACGACTCATACAGATGTTGCTGCCATTCGTGACAGGATGTCAGTTTTAATCCAAATCCAATTTATAAAAATCATTGTGACGGGTCTAGGCAGTAGATAAGTTTTTTAGAGAAAATTGTTTCTGCATTACCAAAATGATGTGATAATGATAATGGAAGTCTGATAGCATTTCACAAAAACATGAGCTGTAGGTTAAGTAATATGTCAAAGGATTCAAATTCAGATGATTGCAGAATGAACGTGGTTTATGAAATACAAATTGAAACTACTTATTCAATTCATTGAAAAACTTTCCGCTTACTATTAAAACTATTTTAGTTTACGTTATTTTAAAACTGACGAGAAAAGGACACTAGGGTTCTGCTATTTGCTACAAGAATATGTGGTTTTATCACAAAATGTGAGAAATGTAGGTCATGAGACTTCACATTTTACCATACAATACAAGAAAAATAATTGTCACCTTTTGTTCTGCGAAAGTTTTATTGGAATTGCTTGGTAGTGACTTGAAAGCAGTTATTGAAGATCTATCTGTCATTTTGAAGCAAAATGGAGTTCTGGAATTGGATAGCGATTTTTATTTATAAGGAAAGTCGATATGGAGAGTATACAACAATCTATGACCCAGTATGAGTTATGGGGCTGAATTTCAAAAATGGGCTGAAAGGTAACTTTCGAAGCAATTCGGAAAATACTTAGAAATTTACGAAACTGAATTGAAAAATGTTTTCATTTGAGAAGGCGATATAACGCCAGGAATATTGGGAAACCATATTCCTGCTCAAACGTTAATTTTTTCTGGATATTGGAGATATGTTTCTCCCGGAAAACGTGAGGGTTAGTGTCACTCCAATAACGGCAATTCTGTCTGTGAACATTGCCGTTTGAAAAAATGTACATTCGTCACTAAAACAAATAAAGTGGAGATAGGAAGGATGCCTTGCAATGGTTTCCGTCATGATTTCGCAGAGTTTTATTCTTCGATCAGGGTTATCTTCAGTTGATTGGTGTACTATTTCAATTTCGTATGGATGATACCTATTTCTCTTCAAAAGTCTCCACACAGTATAAGGAGAAACCTCACAATCATTCGCGACGGAATAAGTAGACTGTTCAGGATTTACTACCATCTCACCATTATTTGCACTTGCTGTTTTTTCGTAAGGAACGGAATTTGGATACAAGTTCCCTCTAATATTTTCTACAGATAGGACGATTCGGAAAACGTTCATTGAAAATCCTTTCGGTCTCGTGAAAGTTACGTGTCGCAACGTGAATAAAAATCGCTTCAATTTTTTCCTCCAATGGACGAGAATTGACCATTTTAGAGATTGTTGACGTGGTACCTTTCTACTAGTAAAACCGTAAACTAAATGAGAATATTCTAACAGAACAATGATGTGTTAATTGTCTCCCCCCTTTCTATTTATTTTTTTTCCCAGATGGCGCCCAGTGGCCATCTTGGAAGTTTCATCTGTCAATTTTACTTCAAAATAAAGTATTCAGGCATTTATTCCATTATCCCAAATTTAAATTTTGTGCGTTGACCCATTCAAAAATTAAAGGGAGGGGAACATTAACGAAATGCACTCTATGAATTCTTTTATACTAGGATAGTTCACACGTTGAAATTAGCACATAAAACTCCTGAAAGCAGAAGCTCATTTGACTCAGAACGAATCAAATGTAGAAAACTGTATTTTAATGATTTCACAGAGCATATAAAAACTTGCAAATATTGTTAACAAATTAGGATGAAAAAAGAAGGAATTTTTTGGTCATAACACAAACACTACCAATACTTGAGAAATAAAATCAAATGATTTTGAAACAGTATAATATGTACAATGGACATCTCCTGACTCCCGGAACTCTTCCTCCATTTAATGTTAAATATTTGGAATTTATTTAAAAAAGTGTGAACAGTGTGAAAAAGTGTGAACTATTATAACAAATGTTGTAATAGTTTGTTGTGTTAAAAATGTTTGAACAAATTTCAACTGCCATTTGATTTTTCAAGTACTTAAAATTCTGGAAATTAACAATTATATTTTTCATGACACTTTTCCACATAATACAATAACGTTTACTTGATTAGCTTGTGAAGCAATTTGTTTATAAGAATTAATATTTTCATGACTTATAGTGTGGTACATATACTTCAAAACAATTTTGTTCAGTGATATATATCTGCCAAATTATTTTTCCATCATATCATATTTCATCATCATATTTTACATATCTTTTATAGTTTATTGAATGTATGTGTACAAATTTACTGTTATCGTTTATATTTTGAAATATTAGTGCTGAAAGTGCTGCAATTGTTCATTTAAAAATGAATGAATAGCCAAATTTGTTGTATTCACATTATTTGACAATTTATGGGTATTAAAAAATACGAAAATGGCAAAATCTGTTACAAAAAATCTGTAATTCTTATAAAGAAATTGCGATAACAGCAGATCAACACTAGCAAAAAACTTGGTTTTTAATTCATTTCAAATAATGATTTACCTTTTATAAAAACGATTCAAAGGTCCATCATGCTAACTATGATCCTTACTTTGAAAGTTATATCAGTTTGTTGCCTAGTATATCGAGTGACCGCTATCGTGTAAAATTGAAAAGTGTGAAAAATTCAAATCAATTGTGTTGAAAATCATATAGCGACTTATCTAATTTCAATAACTTTCGAAAGAAAAAGCTAAAATAACAGTCAGAATTGCATATATTTTGAGTAATCAACAAAAAACTAAATCAAATCATCTAACAGAACAATTGGTTCAGGCCATTTCCAATTCCTATACTGTAGGTTAATGACAGTTGTATCGCCAACAGCGTATGCAGAAATAACTTCAGTGAAGAATCCTGCATTGACAACTGTCGGATATAATCCAACGCCCTTCGTGGTATTAACCAGGGAAGTAGTTGTTTTCTGATAGGTGTCAGCCCATTAAACTACAGTGTAGGGTTTTGAGACTGACCTGAACGAATTGTTCTTTTAGATGATTTGATTTATAGCCAATCTTCAACTATGCACACTGACTATATGTGAAAAGTTTTCTTTTCTTATACGAGGAATTGGGCAAATTTCGGATATGCGGTTGGTTACTTCGTTTACAGGCAGATGGGGCGATGAGAAACCTTTTTTTTGTAGTAGCCAGGGAAGTAGTTGTTTTCTGATAGGTGTTAGTCCATTAACCTACAGTGTAGGGAGTTGAGACTGGAGTGGAATGATTGTCCTTTTAGATGATTTGATTTATAGCCAGTCTTCAATTATGCCCACTGACTATATGTGAAAAAAAACTGAATATTTTTTTTGGAATAATTTGTTAATAACAACTGCAATTTTGGGTGCGCTGTAAAATCATTGTAATATATTTTTCTATGTATCATTCTGAACCAAATCAACAAACGGTCGTATTTTTAAGAGCTCTATGTCCTTTCAACACTAAATTATACTCAAATATATCTTGTCATTTGTTACTGGTTGCAACCTTGAAAAAAATGACAAAAAAATTCAATTTTAAATATTCAACACGATATTTGGATTTTTTATTTGTGCGCTGTGGAAAACTTTTCCACTTTTTGATTTTATGCTAGGTTAGATTAGATTTGGTCAAAAGTGAATGGGTCTATTCGACCCTTCACCCGCAAGGATTTATTGTGGCTCACACCTATTCACACTCGACCAAATAAACCCAGCCCATGCTATTAAATATAGATAGGGGGTACAATGATTCCAATAACATATTGGAGTTAAACTCTGAAAATATTATAAAACAGAAAAAAAAATACAATAATTTGCTTACCTTGCGATAAAAGCAGCTGCTACCGTTCTAAGTTTGGAATGTCTGAGTAAAGCTACAATTGTTAGAGAGTTGCCCAATACGCCAACTACCATAATTATTATGGTTAAAACTCCAGCTGCGGTTAGCATCGGTCGGGAATACCTGAAAAATAATGTAAATTTTTACGTGACTGGTTTATCATGGAAATATTCTAAAATTATTTTTTCTCTCATCAAGCATAAATAGTAGTGTGAATGGGAAATTAATCATTTCGAATGATATTCAATATTGTTCTGAATGTCAGTCTCCCAGTTTTCTAATAGGTAAGATCAGAAAATGGTAAATAGTCACCATAAAATCTACTATCCTGGCTGCTTCTCGATGTCTAGTAGTAGCAGGTTGCCGATATGGAACTAATAGCAATTCATGTTCAAACAAATGTGTCATATACAGCGGTGGAAAGTTGAACAGGTGCTTCAGTTTGATTTTGCATGCACTGATGAGGAATAACATTCCGAAACCGAAAATTTTATCACAAATATCAGTCAAATCGTTCGTAGTACTAGCTTTGGTATCGTCAACCTGGATAGTAGATTAATGGTAGGTATTTGCCAAATATGAATACTGAAGTTGGAAAAATTTCATTCCAAATGTTTATTTATTTAGTGTATTTATCTCTCTCCCACATATCCATCATATACTACTTTGTTTGCGTTATAGATCTTCTCTTCAGAGAATATCCTTCATTGCAACAGGTCATGCAGAGGCTTATTGTCTATTCAACCAACCTTTTAACGATCAACTAATTTGGTGAGTGATCTTTCAGGTCAGCTGACAGGAGTGAAACTCTACCAAACTTTGAATGCCTGATTACCCACGGCTCTGCTGTTTCATCATCTTCCATACAGACAGACCAAGTTTCTGCATATGATGGTTTAGACGACAGTAAGCAGATTTGTTAGACAATAGGTCTTAAGGTCTCGAAATAATGGTTATTTGGTAATTTACATATTCAGTATTTTGAGTAACTCCTCTTGAATGGATTTAAATTTCATTCCAAATGTTTATTTATTTAGTGTATTTATCTCTCTCCCACATATTCATCATATACTGCTTTGTTTGCGTTATAGATCTTCTCTTCAGAGAAGACCCTTCATTGCAACAGGTCATGCAGAGGCTTATTGTCTATTCAACCAGCCTTTTAACGATCAACTAATTTGGTGAGTGACCTTTCAGGTCAGATGACAGGAGTGAAACTCTACCAAACTTTGAAAGCCTGATAACCCACGTCTCTGCTGTTTCATCATCTTCCAAACAGACAGACCAAGTTTCTGCATATGATGGTTTAGACGACAGTAAGCAGATTTGTTAGACAACGTTGGTAATTCCGAATGTAATCTAACAGTTGTTTGTTAACATACTTTAAAAGGATATATAATGGTTTCTGAATAGGCCAATACTGGTGGATTTTGTCAGAAGTCTCAAACTCTTCTTGCAGCTAGGGTGTTTATATTTGTTTGGCAAGGTCAAATACAAATTCCCTTTCTGGTTCTATGAAAGCAGAACATGTTGACGTGCTTATCTACAACTCATTTGAAATATTCAAACTAGTGACCGTCTGTGTTCATACAATACACATTTTGTTCCAGACGCTCTTGTCCGCAGGGCAGTTATGGAGTGGTTTTACTGAAGCAAATCTTCTGAAGCCGTGGAGACCAATTAATACTGTCACTGAGTCGAATGCCGTGAAGTTCATTTAACTCTCCTGCATTATGCATTGTTTTTTCGTCATTATCTAGACCAATATTTTCTATAGTACTGAATTGGAAGTGTATGCAGCGATCAATATATTTGTAACCTCTTCCATTTTTTAGAAATCGAAATCCATAGAACAAAAGAAGCATCTTCAGACGTTTTTCATTGATGTACACAGGGGAGAGTGGGTATGAAAGAGCCAGGCTTTAAAAGAGCCAATGTGATTTTCTACCACTTACCACAATTTCACAATAATTCGATTTTAATGTTTGTATGGCAACACTGAATAGCTGTCATCCACAAACATTTAACAGTTCTGCGAAAACGAATGGCGTAGATAGACCCAATCAAAAATTTTAGGACCAAAAAGTATTTTTTTTGCGTTCACTCAATTTGTTTTACAAAGAAAAGTGCCGCGTGAGTTGATAAAATTGATATGTTGTATTGTTAGGCATATATTTAGCATTATTTTAGGATAATATTGATATCATAATGTTTACGCGAAATAGGTGTAACTTGAGGTTACAACTTGAATGACAAAATGTTTTGAAAGAGCCACTTGTGGAGACTTTGAAAGAGCCGGAGCCAGGATGCAGCACTGTTTCAGCTCCTCCTACAATCATCGCTGAAAAAGGGTCAAAACAAATTGGGCAAGTTACTTCTGCTGATATTTCCACCTCATTGTAGCCATAGACTCCAACTTCTGGATGTTGCGGTTAACTGGACTTTCAAAACAAGATGTTGAATAGTTATGAATGAGTGGATTGTGATTTAAGACTGATAAATAACTGATCAATTTACAGTTTGATAAAATTTATATAACAGATAAATAGTTTATTAAGTGATTTTTATTTGCTGAAAAACTGTTTTTTGAAGAGGAACCCGGCTCTTTCATAGCACATGCACAGCTCTTTCATACACATGTCTCTTTTTTCTGCAAGTTACCATATTACTAATTTCTGTCATGCTATCTCATTTTATTTTGATTGAATAACCATGACTATTAAACTAATCATTTACAAAAAGCAATTTTATTCAATAACCATCACCTGACGTTATCTCTTTTTGATGTTTTCCAAAACTGACTCTTTCATACACACTCTCCCATATTGACAGAGTATCCTTGAACCACTTGAGAATATGCAAAAATATTTCAAATCGTATCTTTATAATTGTATGTTTGAGCATCAATTGAGTAAGGAGTAAGACACCTGAACAAATTTGGCTTTAATATATCTCACTTGAACTACTTGTTATTCAAAAATCCCAGAGATTGTTGTCATATTAGCCTTGGGTATGGGTAGAAGTGAGGAAGTGAAAAAAAACGTGAAAGAGTATACCTTCAATCGAAAATCGACATAGTGCTTATTGTCTTCATATAATGTTGACACCAGTCCTGAATACTGCTTGGGTACGTTTTCGTTTAACCACCGTGTATTATAATGGAATAGACTTACTATTATTATTTTTTTCATGTAGTGACTGAATCAAGGATAAAAAGTAAAAATCTAATCGTGTAGATACCAAAAATAAATTTTTTAAATATAATTTCTGAGTTCGTAATTTCTACAACTGAGAGAAAAAGATTTGAATTATTTTGTAAGTGGGGTACCTAGTGTTTCAATGTTTTGAATATATTGGATGTTTATTACTTTTGACAAACTTCATTCTTGGCTGAGGTGCTACCAACACTTAGTAAGCCACTGGTGAAATATCAAAATTATTGATAATCACTAGATGATGTGTAAATTTGCAAAAACCGTTACTGAAATAAAATGTGTTTGTAATATCAACTAAATTTTTTTACCAGTGTTCATGTCTATGATCAATCAGAAAATGTTTTGCGACTCATATTCATACTAAAAAATTCTTATCGAATGTTTTTTACTTTTGGTAAACTTAATTCTTGGCTGAGGTACTACCCATACTAGCTACGCCACTGGTGAAATATCAAAATTATTGATAGTTACCAGATGATATCATGTCAATATACGAAAACCATTACTAAAATACAATGTATTTGTAATATCAACAATTTTTTTTATTAATGTTTTGTCTTTTATCAGCCATAACGTGTATCGTAACTCATGGGATTTTGACTAAATGTGTGTTTAGTGAAAATCGCACAAAAGATATTCTTGAATTGATAATGGATTTTCATCAAGTACCGGCCAATTCCATCACATTTGCAACTCATATTCATACTAATAACGTGAATCTCTATCGAAAGAAGTGGAATGGATTCAAATTTGATGTATGATGGAATATTTATCATTCTCATTAATTTTTCTCATCTCATTTATATGTTCTTAGGTATATTCAATAGGTATCTTGAAGTTTATGGTCTAAGTGTACAAATGTCTCGATAATTTTTCTCTCAATTCTAGGTATCAGGGCAATATTTCATCATAAATACGATTTTATAGAAAATATGTGTCTACATAAAACTAATATATGATGAGTAGGAGCAGGGCCGTCACCATAGAGGTGATGGGGGGGGAGCCTCCTCCCCCGCTTTTTCGACTTGGGAAAAAGTTGGGAAATCCTGACAATTTAATTTGATAGTTTTGTCACAGATTTTGTTTTATAACAATCGATGAAAGTAAGTGCCAAACGGTCATGATTAGTTTTATAAAAAATGGATTTCTGTAAATATCTTCCAGATAACAGAATTATCAGAAAGAATGTGGTCACAAATAGCACTAGAAAAAGTTTGTGGAAGGTTACAAAAGATAAGCTATATTCTCAGAAATACTACACAGGTACTGGACAATAATCCCTAATATATAATGACGTCGGACATTCATTGTCTGTAACTTGCATTAGTTATATTGTAAAAGCATGAATTCTCAGGTAATCCTAACAACTATGAACTCATAGGTATCTATTTAATCGCTAGATTTTGTTGACGTTGAAAGAAAATTTTCCAATAAAATATCTTGGCATAAACATTACCAATTCACTGAAATGAAATATTTCAGTGAAAGATATATAATAACATATGTTCATTTAAACCCAACATAGAAATAGTATTTGATCATTAGTTGACTGAAAGGTAGAACTGGAATATCTACCGTAGAATAAATATAAAACAAGCATTGCTCCCAAGACACCAGACCTGCAATAATCCACACGATGCGCGTTTCAGTAACTAGAACCCTGAATTCCCAAAATTAGTTGGTCGAACGCGCATCGAAAAGATTGTTGCAGTTCTGGAGTTTTGAGAACAGTGCTTACTTTGGTTTTGTTCATCAATAACTGCCTAATCATTGATGTGTGAAGTTTTCTGAATCATATTAGAGAGTGATTCAAACTTTTCCCAAGTTTATATGGATTTGACGTTATGACTTCATTCATGTCATTTCACTATCCTATAGTAGATCATGATAGAAGATAGTTCAATGATAGGAGTAGAATATTATTACTGTGATGTATAAATTTTAATGGGGAAGAAACTTTTCATCCTTTTGTTGCAGAAAAAGTACTCTCATTTTTTATCGGTACCTACGACTGGCCGTTTGATGATTCGAAAAAGAGTAGTATAGAAGGGTACAAAAAATATTATTCATTCAGTATTCCATAAGAATGAAAAGCTTCAGATCAGAATTTCATTAGCTGTAGTAGAAGCATGAATGACTGTCGTATATCAAGAATGTTATTCTGTTATAATTCTGTTACTTGAATATTTCTCATCCACTACTGGTGACATCAGAGCAAAATAGTGGATATATGTACACAGAAAAAATTGGATCCTGTCCAGTGACTTTGGTTACTATCTCGAGGTTCCGAATGACTTATCTAGATATCGAGATATCCCGAGCAAATAATCCATCATATAACCACTATCTATAATGGCATGAACCTATAAATGATTATTAGAAAAAAAAATTATTATTTCCTGTGAAAAAGTAAACTCATCTTTGACCAGCACGTCTAATACAGAGTTTGGATTGTCTATAGTTTTTTGAGAAAACTACTGACAATATATTAGTGTTTGAAGAAACTACCATGGCAGTAGAAATTGTACTTGCTGCATGTGGTATCGGTTTCGTTGATTTGCAGTCAACATTCTCCAAACAGAAGACTGATATCGAACTGCAATGCCTACTATCCAGTACTGATACGAAAATGTCCATCAATTTCTTGTATCGTTTCTTATAACTAAAGTGTACATAATTATCGTAAAACTGCCAGGAAGTTCGGAATCATTCTAGAAAAACGCTGCCCCGCACCATGTCTTACTAGAAATGTTCTTTGAGTCGGAGTTGATTTATCAGGATATCGTTTTTGATAAAATCGGCTTGTTTTCTGCGGCATTTAAATTCACAAGTCCTTAAGCGAAATTCATCGTAGTCATTTTTTAATGACCCATATTAAGGTAATGAATTGATATGTAAGGTGAATAGACAAAGACCGAAATAGATCGAAATTCATTTTTTGCTGGAACTGATTTAAAAAGAAGAAATTTGAATGTCATAAAAATGATCAAACACGTTTCGTAACTCATTTCATCATTGTTTTTTTTTTTATTATGAATTGAAACGCCTACTGGAAAACAACAAGAATAATTTTGCTTTGAAATAGATAGGTTTTCTGAAATTTATGTTTCAAAAATAAGGTGCGGTCCTCTTGGTTCTGGTTCCCTTTCAGTGAAAGAGCTTCATGGAGCAAGAGCCGAATTGCAGCTCGAGAAATGGTTCTGATGCAAATTATGTGGAACATGTTCCTTACGAATCAGTAGACAATTGAGAAAAACAATCTTGAGAAGAAAATTGGATTAGATAATTTAGCAAACATGAATAGCATTTTACAAGTGTTGTTCATTACGAAGAATTTCACGAACGAGGCTTCAACAATGAACGAGAACGAGAATGTTTCCTACTTATTCACCAAACACATGTTCGTGCAGCTGCAGTTTCATAAGAATGTATCATCTTTCCCGCCAACCGAGACTTTGAAGTCCACCAGATACTTATTAGGATAACAAGATAATTGTCTATCTCGTCTTGTGCTTGCATATCTTTTTCTGGAAAAATCCTCACTTGTTTACCTTGTTGTACATGTTCAACAGGTAGCAAACACGTTTTTGGCTTTCTGGAACTTCAACTAGTGTTTTCCAGTATGACTGATAACCAGTCCATTCAAAACTAATTGTTAAATCATCTGAAAATAGATCTTTTAACTGGTGATGATCAACTGAATTGCCAAATATGCGCCAAACCAACTGACTATTATGAGACAACAAGTATAGTTGAGGCACCAGTCAATCTAACAATAACACTGATGATCTTCAAACATGACTTAACCTCTGACGGAAACACCAAACTCTCACGAAGGTTCGAAATAGATGAACACTTCGATATAGCAGATCAGTAGTACAATCTTCATGCAGTCATTGTTCACTGTGGTTCTAGTGTTGAATCTTATCATTATTACGCATTGGTCAAAGATGAAACGGACTGGTTTTAAGTTTGACGATAGTCGTATCACTAAATATTCTAGTGATATCTTGAATTCACTGGAGCCTCTGGAGACACCCTATATTTTATTCTATGAAAGAGAGGACATTGGCAGATCAAGATCTTTATGTGAAGTGGTGCTGCAGGTTTTTCCGGGATTTTCTGCAGCTGATGAAGCAATTGTGTCATTGGAATCATTCAAGTCGCCCCGTAGTGCCAACTAATTTTTGTTGTCATTTCATAATTAGTATTACAATATTTTTTAATGTTGATAATAAATAGTATTTTCCTCAAAAAAAAAACACTCACTTCATATTGCTAGTATCTATCTCTATGAAATTAACCGACAAAATTGTCTTTTTCAGTAATGTTCAGTTTCAATACTTGCTCCTTCCGAAGTTGAAGACTTTTGAATATATGTTCATAAAAACTTTTCTTGAACCTTCAATGACAGCACTCAAAAACATCCTATATACAAATCACTACGGTCTGTGAAAAACATCGCAATTTCTGATTGAATCACCTTCACTCCAGGAGTGTCCTTAGAAAACAAAAAAGTGTTCAGTTAAGGGTTAGTTATTTTATTATCAATAATAAGTGTCGCTCCCAAATCATGGATTTTTTATAGTCAGGTCAAAAACCTTCAGGATAGGGTCGGGATTGAACATACATCCAGTACATCGATCATTTATTATTATCTACGAATGAAGTCCAGATTTTCAATCAATTTTCAAACAATTTCAAAATTTTCAATCCAGGAATCTGCCCTAATCCATGAAAATTATTATTCAAAAACGTATTTCAGATTTTGGTCAAACTTTTTCTCCGAAAATATTCCGTGAGATTTTTCCTTGAATTGATTTCTACTTTGTTTCTATCTCTCATTCAAATTACTGAAGTGCCACATATAATGAAAAAAACGAGAATTAAATTCACAGTTTCCATGACTTTTCAACACTCAGAAATTTGCATATTACCACTAGTCAAAATTCCATGAACATAATAAAGTTTCAGTGGTTTGAATTCACTTTTTGAAATAAAAAAAACTTTTGATTTTTGATAATCATTTTGACAGATTGTCCTAGGATACAATTTTGGAAATTAAATTCAAAATATTCAACGTTATATTCGAGTCACTACACATCAATTGAGTACGATATCAATTCCCATGAATAATCCCATTATGAAAATTTGACCTCCAACAATAAATTCAGCGAGAGGTAGGAAGATCTTTGATCTTACTCTTGAAGAGGATCGCTTGGTGATCGAAACACATGTCGAGGTGTTAAAATAACGGTTTGGTGTTGGGAAAAAACCCCAGTAATATTCTTTAGAACAGACAAATTACTCTGCAATTTGAATAAGAGTCGTAATCAGTTTTTCTATTTTTCGATATTTATTCAATAGTATATGGCAAAATAAAGTTCAAACTTGAAAGTTGAAAGGTATTTCACCTGATTAGATTTCAAAATATTATCTGCAGAATCCTGAGTATGTTTCAGGGGTAATATAGGGTATTGCCGAAAGTGAGACATTTTCATCACATATTCTTGACTTGAACTGTCTTAGAAAACAATCAAGACAAAATGACAAGAAATTCACCATATTATTGTACAAAACAAAGTATTCGCGTCTGTGTTCAATGAAAAACAAATATTATCATCAAAAGTAATATTTCTCGTGAGTTCATTAACAAAATGTTAGAGGTTTACACATTGACTACTGCTCCTTCAAATTACGCATCGTCGGCTCGATATAAATCACATACACGTTCATGAATATGTATTTATGATTTAAATTTCAAATACACCAACACCAACATCAGCATTATTTCAAATAATAGGTATAATCAGCAGTGGCAACAGTACGAAAAATAATGGCACTGCAGTAAACAAGCGAAGGTACTCACATCAATTAAGAATTTTGAACAGGCCGTGTGACAAACAAACAAACAAAAACAATTTTCATTTAAAAGAGTTGAGCTAGACGGAAGATCTCACGAGGTACAAGTGAAGAATAACGCCACACATGTACAACACATGTCAATATACGAACACAAACAAACACTGCACTTTCAGCTAAAAGTACCGAATGAACATCAAAATAAATACATACCGCAATAATTCCGAAAATTGAGACCTTCTCACTTGTTCCATTTTTGTGTTTCGAAATGGCACTGTAACTCACTACACTTTCGGTATTATCTGAGATAACTCGAGGGAGCGTCCCTATGGGCAGGATGGTTGAAAATTAATTTTAATTGAAACTAATAAAAGCTGAAGCGCTAAACTGCGTTAAAGTTAAACAAGAGAATGAATGAGCATAGTTTGGTCGAAAACCCGCATCAAAGCGTGTTAGTCATTTGTTATTAATCACACGTTTCATTGGAAGTCACTTCACTGGATTTACTTTAGATTGCAATGGACCGGATTTTTATGACTAACCCGTAGTGAAACCTACCTTAACTATCGTCACCGATATAATTTATTCCGTAAATGCGACTCACTTCTGATAACTGAAAGCAAGTAATTAGACAAAAGTGCGTACCTTTGCTTCAGACAGTTGATTTTAAAGAGAACTACTTGTAGGAGGTTCTGAACAAATGGAGATTTATGATTTGTATTTCCTGTGAGTTTGTGGCATGATTATTTCCGTTCTAACCTTTTTTTATTATTATTGAAACTTACGAACGATTGTTATGAGTCATACGTCATTTACTTTCACATTAATCGCAGAACTATGTCGTGTGAAATATAAAGTAGAAATAGTTTACGCAAACGTCTATTTAAGCAAACAATTTTCCCCATCACTTTGATTTTTCAACAAATGAACCGAGGTCAAATAAATTTCGATTTCATCTGTACAGTGTTTTAATGAACCTTTTAAAAAAGTCCTGAAATATGGCAAAAACTAAATTGTTCTTCTACAAAAACAACACACGAACATTGTTCACAAACGGGCAAACATTTTAAAAATCATTTCTTTGGGTTTCAAAATCTCGATAATAGTTTTTCTCAAATATTTTTCATGTACAGGCTGCGATCAGATACACTTTCATTATTAGTACCGGCGGTATTCGTTACTTTCAACTACGTAAACGATAAGAATAGGCAAATTGACAGGCTAACACTACGATGGACTTTGGATTACATCCTACAAATACTTAAAGATGCAATTCAACTACTAGTCTTTACAGTAGGAAATAAAAATGCCCACAGAAAACGGATATTTGATATCCGTTTTAGTATTAGCGAAATTTCGAGACATTGATCAATGGTGTTGGAAATCCTTAAGGCGCTCTAAGAGCGGTGCCTGTGTGAAAGTACATTGGATTTGAATCGCTGGAGATTAAATTCATTTGGAAAAACGTTCTCAGGGAGTTATTTCCACATAAACGCAGTTCTTCAAATGAACGTGTTCTTGAACAGTGGAGTTCGAGGTGTACTGAGTTGAACCTCAAAACGATATGTACCGTGAAAGTATCTATAGAAGAGAGAAAAATCTCCAACCTTTCTTCAATGTTCCAGGCTATCAAGGTTGCACGTGATGTTCGCGTCTCCAATCAGGTGGCTCTTTTCTAGATGGAATCCAGCAACTTCAGGGTATGTTTGGGGGCGCAGAGCTCCATACATGGCAACAATACTCCAAAGAAGGTCTGATATGAGCTTTATAAAGCATCAGAAGCTGCTGAGGTTTGTACAGCCTTTGCAATTCCAGCAACATAATTGTGCTAAGACATATTAGTATCCATTTTAACCCCCAACAAACTTATTGAAGCAGAAAGTGGAATTGTCTGATCTGACATTATTATATCCGGTTCGGAGACATTTATCTTCTTGAAGAAAACCGATGCCTGGATTTTTATGGTATTGTTGGAAAAATCATCTACAACAGCCTATAACTGAAGAAATATTCCAAATGACTGTAGAGCAGTTACCTTACCAACACTGCTGTTGTAATATGTTGTTGTAATATGTATATGCTGTAGATCAGCATATACATATTATAAAACGAAGTCGCTTCCCGCAGTCTGTCCCTATGTATGTTTACATCAAAACTACGCAACGGATATTGATGTGATGAAGAAAAGAGAAATGAAACTTTCTGTTTTTTAACACTATTATTTGTAACTAACGTTACTGCAGTTTCGTCCTATACGGACATTTTCAAACTTATACAATAATTGAAGCATTTTTGTTGCGTATACACTGCAAACGCTGGCTGAACCCTACGAGATAGGGTACACCTTAAAAAGGTCTGGAAAATGTCCGTGATGATATATGTCTATCTCTTAGGGATAAACCACCATAACAATTTTTTATGCTCGAGAAGAGAAGCGATTTTAAGCAATATAGCATTAATCCAATCAAGTACTTTGAATACATTGTTCATTCAACATAAATCAATATGGCTTTTTACAGCATGTACTTTAAATGGATATTTTCGAAGATATTACAGATTTAAAATGCAGGGACATAGCGGTTGCGGCGGTACCAGCCGGAGGAGCGGCGGAGAGTGCCTATAAATAGCACATCGAAGGCCGCGCTTTGCCTTATAGCACTTCATGATTAGCAGTTAGCGCACGCGTTTATATGTATATTTAGTATCAGCATTGCACCCGTGCGGAGTCATAGCGGGTCGGTGGTTCAAAGAATGTTCAAAATTTTTAAGCGATCATCAACACGGAGCCCTTGATATTTCCAAGGCCTGTGATAGTGTCTGGTATTAGTATTCACTAAGTCAACTATGATATTGTAACTTAACCCGTTATGACCTAGCGTTACTTATAGATAACGCAGTTGAAGGTTTCTTCTAATTGCAATAGTTGCCCTATTTATGAGATTTTTCACTAGATAGCATTGTATACCTCATCTTCGATTGTCGAAATATCAAAACGTTCAGTTGCATGGTGATAGTCCAGCTGTAAGGTTCACTTTTTTGAGTTATTCTGAAGCTAAGCATGAGCAGAGACGATGAGATGGACATTCGTTTCGAGTAAGTATTAGATAAAATTAATTTGTCAGTTATTTATTATCATTATCAAATATGTGGGTAGAAAAAAATTTATTTTGCATGTAGTATATGTTGAATTTGATGTTTGCCAAAACAGGATTAGCTATGGGGGATTCGTTTGTTGATGTTACAAATAAGTAACGCTAGGCTTTCAGATATTTGGAACTGGACTTATGTCTTATTTTGATCCCAGGGCGGGTTTTACATTAGGAGAGGCATTAGATATGGTCTATTTAGATGATATCGAAGAAATTTTCATTGAACCTCCTGATCCCAATGCTCTCACCGATGAATACTCAGCCGATAAAGATGATGGAGGTACATTGGATAATCTTAGTGGGCGGCAACTACAAAGTAAAGTTGAAATAAAGTTTGCAATTTCAATAGAAAGATTCACTTCGAAAAATCAGACGAATGATCTGGTTACTTCAGACAATACAGCAGTACATAATGGTAACATCTCATTACCTGAAAAGGTAAAATCGAAAGATAAGATTATCTGGGAGGAAAATGCCGATATAGTAGTTTCCAGAAGTCGAATATTTCCGGTACAAAACTACAATATGTTTCTTGAAAAGTATCCTGTTGAAATCTTCGAAATGTTTATTGATGACAATATAATAGAAACTCAGAAGTATTCACTATTCAAGAACTGCCCCGATACTCAAGTCACTTCCGAAGAAATGAAAACATTCATAGCCATATTGATATTGAGTGGGTATGATCCCAAACCCAGTAAACGGCATTTTTGGGACAGTGGTTTGGACATGAAAAACATAATGGTGAGCAATTCCATGAGACGTGATCGATTCGTTCAGATAATGAGTGTCATTCATTTGGCTGAGAACAATTCCATTGATACCACTTACTCAAATAAGCCAACTAGATTTTCGTAGAGCCTTGGTTCAAAATTATTTAAGCCGCTATGGGATTGCTCCAAAAAGTGCTGGAAGGCCTTCTACATCCAAATTAATCCTCTCACTAAATAGAATATCCGATGAAGTGAGATATGATAGAACAGATCACTTTCTGATGTCCATTCCGAACAAGAAACGTCGACGATGTGCTGGGGAAGGGTGCTCTACGAGCACTAGAACTATGTGCAAAAAGTGCGACATAGGACTTTGTATTGAGTGTAATATTATTTTTCATACAAAGGCCAGGTAGTCCTCGTGTTTGTAGGAACGTAATATATTTCTTCAACGCTGTAACCGAATGACCTAATGTTACTTATATGTAACATGCATTTGTTGTTATTATTCTAATAAATATTTCAAAAATACTTTATTTTCCCATACACTGTACCCCAATAATGCCTTCATGTTGATTTTCAACTGAAATTTTAAAAGTGAATAAATTCCGGTTATAATGGGTTAAGACAAAATTTTTATTCGTGGTTTTCCAGCACAAAAGTCTATTTTTTCATTTACCTTTGTTCTGTTCTACATAGATCTGCAAAGATATGCCAACGTACATCTTTGCCGACAAGAAGTTTCAGTTCTGGAAGAAATTTCAGCTTCAAACTAGGCATCAGTAACAGTACACAGTTCGATAGCTAAGTCGATAAATTACGTGGGTATCAAATTAGATTGCTGAACTGTTGAAAGTGGTTTCTCAGAAACTTGGAACTCTAGATCGAACTAGAACACTTTAGCAACTTTTGACGCTCTATAAACATCAAAACTGAAAAAAATCGTTTGATGTTCTAAACGTTACTATTACATAATTTGTGTTATTATTACTAAAAGCTCAATAATTCATCTAACAGAGGACTTGGTCAGACGAAAAACCACCTTGCAAAAATCTCAATGATTAATCTGACAAAGGATGGAAAACCACATTGTTTTGTCACCTAATCTGGTGGAATCTCTTTATATATCAATGAATTAATCTCTACTTGGAGGATAGTCCAGAGTTTCGTGGATTTTCGACTGAGGAGATGGCTTTAATTTCTACTTTAGATTTTGTACAATCTTGAAGTACAGGATCCATTCCAAAGTCATCAATCTTCATAACACTTTTTACGAGGTTATTAGATTTTTCATCAATTTCCTCGCAGTAGACTGGGAAATATCTTTTCTTTTCGATCTTTAATAATCTTCACCAATCCATGTAGCATTTAGAAGATCCAATTATATTTCCAGAAGTTCCAGTTATATCATTAAATTCCATGTAGTATCTGGTTATAACCGTTTTTCACATCATTGATTGTAGAATCCAAGATTCCTTTTTCAATATCAATTATTTATAACTTTCACAAATATTAATGGGCTAATATGTTTTGTTTGCAACTAACTTGATTGTTGCTAACTTCGTCAATATCGACTTAATGTTATATTTGAAATTCTGAATTAACAAAAGCTAGATAATAACAAACTGTTGGTTGATAAAAATGAATTGTTCACGAATAAAATTGTTTCATATTCATTCACGAAA